ATGGAAAATCATGGTCTTAGGCTGGAAAAAAAATCAACTTCACAAGATCAGAGAAGGCACCGATGGATGCCAGAATGTCTGGAAAAGTTCTAGGGGTTTTAGTGGCAGTTACTAAAGTGAATATAACCTTGGGCTGCCATGAGAGGCAGAGTTTCCAGGAAAAAGGATGTGATGACAGTTCCCCTGTATTCTGCCCTGGTCAGACTTCATTGTCCTCGGCTCAGAGCACCATGGACATTGATAAACTGGAGAGGAGGCAAAGGAGAATAACTGGGATGGTGGAGAGGTTGAAGGAGTTGGGCCAAAAGAAGAGATGACTGGGGGGAGTGGTGTCAGGGTGGGCAACATTAAAGCTACTCTCATGCTGAAGAAAAATTTGACTTGTTCTGTTTGGCCCCAGAGTGCGGAACTTGAAACCATGGGTGCAAAAAGGCAACTATAGGCTTGGTGTCAAGGAAAAACTTCCTAACCATTTGAACTGTCAAAAAGGGGAATAAGCTGGGACAGCCAGATGGTGTAGTGGGTAGACCACTGGCCTTGGAGTCAGAACGACCTGAGTTGAAGTCCGGTCTTAGATTGTGTGATGCTAGGCAAGTCACTTAACTCTGATTGCCTCCCCCCCAAAAAGGGGAGGAAAATAAGTTTTCTCAGGATGTGGAAGGTCCTACCTCACCGGAAGTCTTAAGCAGAGCTTGTAAGAACATTTGGTGGGGATAAGGGTGGATAGAGAGGACAGAACTCTAGACTTGGAGTCAAGAAGACTTGAGTTCAAATTTTACTTTACTAGCTATGTGACCCTGGGCAAATCACTCTCTGTCTGCCTCAGTTTCCACATCTGTAAAATGGGGATAATAATAACACCTTCCTCCTAGGGTTCTTGTGAGGGTAGAATGACATAATATTTATAAAATGCTTTGCAAAACTTAAAGCAATACATAAATATTGTTTATTATTATTATTATTATTATTTTTAAATATTCTTTTCAGGTATGGGTTGGACAAGTAACTGAAGTTCTTTCCTACTAAAATTCTGTGATTCAATTATTTTGATAGTTACCCTGTCAGACAAAGCATTTCGAACAGAGACACAGTTCTATAGATAGATGAATTCCTGCTTTAGAATAGTCTGGGAAGACATGAGGATGGTTTAGAGATGAAGCATTCCCTCCTTCATTCAAGAGTATTTACTGTGCTATAATTGAACGGGACACCATGCTAAATGGCTCTCAGAAGGCTCTAAGTTCTATAAGTCTTGCACTTGGATGCTAGCTGAAGAGAATCCAGCCTGTCCTGGGATTAGCGCTCTTGGAGCAATGGAAATGGTGGGACATCAAGGTAGGCATGTGGAGGGGAAGGGAGAAGGGGTTACCACAAATAAAACAGTTCCTTTTTTCGAAATAGTTTTGTTCATGCTTCATACTTATGATCTGTCTGATGTTCCAATATTGTACCTTTGTTACCTGTTGTGGAAAAGTGCTTTTGTGTTGTTGAATTTTAATACAGCACCTCTAGTTTTAGCAAGAGTTTCCCCCCCCCCCCACCCTACCACCATTTGTTATCAAGACATTCAGATTTGTAAGCTGTGTCTTGTTCCAACTCTGATCTATAAAGAATAGAGACTATTTCTGTATAATGGAAAAGTGCTTTTGTATTATCAAGTCTCCATGACTCATCTCATCTGTTTAAGTGGCAATCATTTTCGTATTTGGCATAGAGAGAGAACGGCATGGAATGTCTAGGAGAGTACCTTATTAAAATAAATACTTAGAATATAAAATCCCCTTTCTTGAGACACGATGGCGCAGCAGGAAGAATCTCTAGCTTTGGAACCAGAGGACCTGGGTTTAAATCCTGATTATTCCTTATTACCTGTGTGATCTTGGTTTCAGCACGTATAGAATGAGGGGTGTGGCTGAGGTGACCTCTGACATGCTCTCATGCTATGACATCTGAAGTCTCTTTCAGTTCTGAATGGGCATTGCTGGGTCTTTTTCTCAGAAAAAAAATCACTTTGGCTTCATCTCTGTGGGAAGTTGAGAGCCCTAGAATCTTCCACAGAGGGATATAGACAAAAGAGAAGTGAAGGCTTCACCCCTTACTCTCCAGGGCAGGGAGATGACAGGGAAGCCGTATTGTTTCAAGTGAGCTCTGGAGGAGAAAATCATGAAATCTGTCTGCTGCTGACCAAGGCTGGCTGCCTCCTGCCCTTGGGAATGGGACTTCCTTGTGGTCAGGCGGGTGACAGAGGATGGGCTGCTATTTTTCTTGGTTTTGGTTTTGCTGGCTTCTTTGCCATAAGACCAGAATAGCCTGGGGTGTGGCAGCTAAAGGCAAGCACCACCAAGGTGATCCTGACACTGGAGCAGAAACCATGTCTGTCATAGGTTAATAATAACTAACACAATATAGCACTTACTATGTGCCAGACACTGTGCTAAGTGTTTTACAATTATTATCTCATTTGGGCATCACAACAACCCTGGGTAGTAGGTGTTATTTTTATCCCCATTTTACAAATGGGGAAACTGAGGCAAACTGAGGTCAAGTGACTCACACAGCTAGTAAGTGTCTGAGGTCATATTTGAACTCAGGTTTTCCTGACTCCAAGCCTGGTCCTGTCACTATCTCACTATCCACCTAACCACTTTGCTGGAAGATTCCAGGTCTTGAGACTAGCAGCTATTGGTAGTTGGGGAGTGGGAACTGGTTTCTCTCTCTTCTTTCCCCCTTCTACAGTCTGTAATCCTGAGATGGGGTCCTGGACAGATCCCCTTCCTGGATCCCTTTTGGGCTGTGTGTGTTTCAGGGATCTCTTTCCTCTTCATACATATCCCAAGAATACAATCAGGAAATATGCTGAAAGCAAGGGATAGCTTTAGGCAGATAGCTCCATATAAGAGTACTTGACCTATTTCCTTCTATTTTCAACAAATTATGCAACCACAATATTTATAAGTATCTGAGCCATGCGCACGCGCACGCGCGTGCGCGCTTGTGTGTGTGTGTGTGTTTGGGGGATGACATGTCCAGAGAGAATAGATTACGAGTATGTAATATTTTACACACAGTCAGGAGTAGTTACTATGCCCACTGATTTTTGCTTTTGTTTGAGTTGCCCAGGCTCTATCCTGCACTTTCTTCTTGGTTTCTTCTATATTATCTCACTTGATGATCTCATTAGCTCTCATGGGTTCAATTATCATCTCTATGTAAATGATTCCTTAATCTATATAGCCAATCCTTATCTCTCCCCTGAGCTATAGTCCTGTATCACCAGCTACCTTTTGAACATCTCAAATTGGAAGTCCTACAAGAATATCAAACTCAACAAGGCCAAAACAGAACTCGTTATCTTTCCCCCTAAACCCTACACTCTTCCTAACTTTCCTATTACTCTCAGTGACTCAGGAAGACAACCTCAGTGTCATCCTCAGTGTCTAACTCATTAGCCCCACATTGCCAATCTGTTGTCAGATAAGGTCATTTCTACCTTTATATCATATTTCATATGTGTCTCTTTCTCATCACTCATACAGCCATCACCCTGGTATCTCCATCATCTTTCACTTGGACCATAATAATGGCCTTGTAATTGGCCTCCCTGCCTCAAATCTCTCCTCACTCTAATCTATTCTCCACCCAATTGCTAAAGTGATTTTTCTAAAGCTCAAATCTGATCACATCATCTTCCTACTCAATAAATTCCAGTGGCTCCCTATTACTTACAAGATCAAATACAAAACCCTCCATTTGGCATTTAAAATCCTTCACAACCTGGCCCCTTCCACCCTTTCTAGCCATCTTACATTTCACTCATCTTCATGCACACCGGCCTACACACACACACACACAACACTCAACTCTCAACTCCATGCCTTTGACCTCAGTGTCTCATATTGTTGGGATGTTCTTCCTCCTCCTGGCTTCCCTGGATTGCTTTAAGAGTCTGCTCAGATCCCACTTTCTGCAAGAGGACTTTCCTAGTCTTCCCCTCCCCAGATTCCCTTTGAAATCACCTTCCATCTATTCCTATATATCTTGTATGTACACAATTATTTGCTTGTTTTTCCCCATTAGATTGTGAGTTTCTTGAGGATGGGGACTGTTTTTGCCTTTCTTTCTATCCCCAGGGCCTGGCGCTTAGTAGGTGCTTTATAAATATTTGTTGACTTGACTTGACTCTGCTCGAAGACTTCCACAGTAAGTGGATACCACCACTTCTTGAGGCAGCTGATTCTCCCTTTGGACGATTCTAATTGTTAGTAAGTTTGTATAGATATAGAGCCTAAATGACCTCTTTGTAACTTCTACTGCTCCTAGTTCTATCCTCTGGGGAAGAATCCTTTTTCCACATGGCATCCTCAATCAATGATTTTGCTGGATTACCCTGACTAGCCAGTCAGTCAATAAGCATTTATTAAGCACCTACTAGTTGTTAGGCAAGGTGCTACTCCCTGGGGCACTGTATTATTTCCTAGGGTCCTCATTATGGCCTCTATCTTCATCTTAAATCTAATTCACTTGCAAGTCATGACATCACCTTCCTGACGTCACTGGTCCTCTTTGAGAAGGAAGGACAGACAAAAACAATAACAACAAATCTTCATCCCAAGTCAAATAATTAGAATGACTCCATCATACTTTCCCTATTTGGAATACAAGGGATCCCCTGGCTGATATAAACAATAAACAAACAAAAAACAATAAACAAACCTGAGATCCAAGTCTATAAGGTCAAGACTACACATGCATACAGGTTACCCATTTATGATTTCCTTTCCTCTTTAAGGCTCTCCCCAAGTTCTTTCCATCCCTCTCCCCTACACTTGTTCCAAAATGCTGGAGAACTGAGTGATTTGGGCTGTCCAGAAGAGATGTCCCTGGAGATGACCCTGCTCACCTTTAACCCACTCATAACTGCGGTGTTGCTCCCCATCACGGTCCCTCCTCTTTGTCCTGCCCCATCTCCTGCCCCTGCCATGTTGGGTGAGGGCACTTACAAAGGTAGTAGTACTGCTCTCCGTAGCTATCTTTTGTCTCCTGGGGCAGCCGCTCCCATAGGTGTCGCATGCGTTGTTCTATGTCCTCCTTGCCCAAAATGGAGGTCCGGTAGTTTCCAGGCTCAATGACGCAGACCTTCACTCCAAAATAATAGAGCTCTCTCCTAGTAGGAAAGTCATGAAGTTAGCACCATGTGGCTCCAGTTCCAAAGACTTTCTAGATTTTAGCAGGGACAATTGTGTGTGGGAAGGGGATGTCAGCTCATCTACACCCTGATACCCATGTTCTCCAACCAGTTGAAATTTGTACCTGGGGAACTTCCTAAAACACACACACACACACACACACATGATAAAATTCATGCAAATGACTTTCAGTGCTTAACCACTACTAGCAATTACATGGGCAGGGACATCAGGAATAAGAATTAGTTACTAGGTCCCAGCCACCCACTCTTGAACCTCCTACATGCAACTTCCTTCCAGTCTGAGAGTTCAGAAAGGGATGACTATGAAAAGAAATAGAATTGCAGGAGTATAGTTTCTTCCTTAAGTATATAGGTCCTTGTGGGTATAAGGTCTTCAGAGACCTTCTATTCTAGCTTCCTCCCCTTCTAGCCATCTGCCGGGATGCCAGGGCTTAGCCAGCACAGGCATCTTCATATCTGCCCCTCAGCTTCATGCCATGGTGCCCCCTACTTCTCCAGCACTTTATCTCTTTCTCAGGGAACAGTAACCAAATCAATATTGCCATTGTTACTGGAAAATACATGAAAAATTATTGCCCTACGGCTCCACTCAGAATCCCTGTGACCTGCCTAATTCCTTTCCCTGGCCATCATCCTCATATGTATTGTATTGTCCTTGTAGAATGTATGCTCCTTGAAGGCAAGGACTTTTCCATTTTTATCTTTATATTACCAGTATCTGGCACTAAGTAGTCACTAAAACACTGCCTGCTAACTGATTGAAGCTTGATCTTTTCAATATGGTGGCTGAGCCTTCTACTAGATGGAGTTCTTTCTCATACTAGGATATCTATGGGGAGGAAGATAGGCCAACTCTGCTCAACTTCACCTCCCCATCCCTGTTCCTGTTTGAACATTAAAAGGTCCCTCAATGAGGAAGATTACAGGGCAAAATCAAGCTGATCAAAAAACAAAACAAAATAAGAACTATCAGTAAAGATCTATTTTTTTTTTAAAAGAAAAGTCCTTCACTAAGGTTAAGCCTTCTCCTTCTGACTTGGTCCTGCACAAGGAGAAAACAATGAGCCATACTCTTCCAGAGATGCCCCTTTCAGAGCTTTCCAGACTGGAACTGAACTCCTCCTCAGTTTGAGGCTGATGATCCCAAGGGGAGCCTTCTTTTTCCCACTTAATGAAAGACAGAGTAGGAGGTAAAGTGGGTTGGGTAAAAGGAATGGGATCCCCTCACCTGATGCTGTCAGAGAAGGCCTCCACACCAAACTTGGAGACACAGTAACCACCGCCAATGACTGCCACTCGGCCCCCACTGCTGGACATGTTGATGACCCTGCCCCGGGCCCTCTTGACCATTGGCAGCATGTTCAGGGTCACCTCAATCAGTCCTACCAGGTTCACATTTATCACCTTTACGAAATCCTCCTTGGTCAGCCACTCATTGGGGCCACTGGGCAGGCCGATTCCAGCATTATTCACCAGGCCCCAGAGCCCTGAGGGAAGGGAGAAGTAAAAAGAGAAGAAAAATGTTTGTGGGATATGCCAATGGATCAGTGATTTCATCAGTATAAGGAAATTCTTAGCAATCCATGCTATTACTTAATAGATTAGTCTTAGGGAGTCACCTGTAATGCATAAAAATTAAATGATTTGCCTAGAGTCACACAACTAATGCAAGAGGGAAGATTTGAACCCAGGTCTTCCTGATTCCAAGTCCGGGACTCTATCTACCACACCATATTGCTTCTTAATGCATCATAGAATTCTAATCTAGAGCTGAAATGGCTCCCCAAGGTCACCTAGTCCAACCTCCATATTTTAAATGAGAAAACTGAGGCCTAGGAATTTAAACCCAGATTCCAACTCCAGAGACCATGCTCTTTCTGGTAAATATGAATGTATATGCTAATAAATAAATTAAATCATTAATATTCATTATTAACAAATAGTTGATATCAATTAATTAAATTTAAATTAAATATTAATAAATTAATATCTTATAACACCCTGATCCCTGGCACCTCACAAGAGCTCATTTCTACTACTTTAGGGTTACAAAAAACTTCCTCAAACATTATCTTATTTGCTCCTTGCCACAACTCTGTGAGATGAATTGTTCAGTCATTTCAGTCATGTCCAATTCTTCATGACCCCATTCAGGTTTTCTTGGCAAAGATACTGGAATACTTTGCCATTTCCTTCTCCAGCTCATTTTACAGATGAGGAAACTGAGGCCAACAGGATTAAGTGACTTGCCCAGCATCACACAGCTAGTGTCTGAGATCATATTTGAACTCAGGGACATGAGTGTTGCTGAATCCCAGCCCAGTGCTCATTCCACTGCGCCACCAAATGCCCTAAGAGGGATAGAATGCAAGTGTTATGGGCATCCCACTATAAGTGGTTGCCCTTCAGCTGGGGAATGGCTGAATAAATTCTGGCATATGAATGTAATGAGATACTATTTTGCTGTAAGAAATGATAAAAGGGGCAGTTTTAGAAAAATCTGAATGAACTGATGCAGAGTGAACTGAGGGAAGAAAGGGGAGCAATTTATATAGTAACAACAACAGGGCAGCACATACAGCACCGGCCCTGTGGTCGGGACGACTTGAATTCAAGTCCAGCCTCAGATGCTTACTAGCTGTGTGGCCCTGGGCAAGTCACTTAACCACAACTGCCTCCTAAAAACCAAACCAAACCAAAAAACCCCAGTAACAACAACATTGTTAAGACCAACAACTTTGAGAGACTTAAGAACTCAAATCAATGCAATGAACCATCATGGTTCTAGAAGACTGATGAGAAACCATCCTACCCACCTCCTGACAGAGAAGTGAAGGACTCAGATAGCAGAATGAGACATCTACTTTTGGACATGACCGATGTGGGAATTTGTTTTGCTTGACTGTGCATATTTGCTGTAAGGATTTTATTTTTTTGCTGTTTTAATGGAAGGAGGAGGTAAATAATTTTTTTTAAATCTAAAGATAAGTTTTAAAAATCAAAGCAATGGAGACTAAGCAAGCTTTACAGCATAGTGGAAAGAGGACTCAACTTAGTGTCAGAAGATCGAGGTTCAAATCTTGACTTTCCCACATCTTGGCTGTCTGACCAGCAAGTCAGCTAACCTCTCTGTGTCTGTTTCCTCATCAATAAAATGAAAATTTTAAAAAAATATTTATCTCATGATACAAATTTATATTTTCTAACTGGTTATTGTGAGGAAAGTTCTTTATTAACTACTCTAAAAGTGTGAATTATTATTACTGTTCTTGTAGAGACACCAGGATTTTGGGACTGGCCTTCACACCAAGCCAAAGGCCACAGTTTTGTTGCAGCGTAAGAGGAAATGGGCCAAAGGTCTCCAACCTTTTTCATTCTTTTCCACCCAGCTCCACCCCAGTTATTGGCATCAAACCCATTGAGACATAGTGGGACACTGAAAGTCAAATATTGACTTTGCCACATTATTTAAATGATTATCTAGCTATTCTTGGGTATCTGGGTTCTTGTGGTTTGTCAATCAATCAATCAATCAATCAGCAAACATTTATTCATAATAATAACCAGCACTTTGAGGTTTATAAAAGTATTTCTGAAAGTCATTTTATCCTCACAATAACCCTGGGAGTTCCATGCCATCATTATGCCCATTTTACAGATGAGGAAACTGAAGCCAAAGGTAGTTCAATGGCTTGCCCGGGGTTCCACAGCTAGCAAGTGCCTGTGGCTGATTTGAACTCAGCTCTGTCTGGACTCCAAGTCAGGCACTTTAGCCATTGCCTCACCTTCACTTCAGTACTTAGTGCATGTCAGATGTGGTAGGCCCTTGAGACTAAAAAGGCAAGAAGGAAAGAGTCCCTGGCCTCAAGAGGCATCTATTCTATTGGGAGGAAGTTGCAGACTAGTGGCGGCCAAGCCAAGCTATGGTAGTTCTGAGACAGTTCATGTATGGGCATGCCGATGGATTCTAACCAGCTTTGATAAGTTAGAAGAGCCTTTATCACCAGCTGGGCAGCAGAGAGATGACTCATGGTGGTCATAGCCAGGAAGGGTTTCCGATTACATAGGTAATATCCACCACAGAGGTAATATCTACAAAGAAAATATTTGTAATATTAAAATATTACAAAGATAAGGTGATGAAATTGTGGATTCTTATGCAATGGCCCACAGATAATAACAGTCAGATTCATGGACTATTAGAGCTAAAATATATCTTATAGATTAGCTTAATCTAGCCCTTTTCTTTTACAGATAAGGCAACTGAGCCCTGAAGAGGGAAATGACTTGTTCAGGATCACATTTGGCAGAACCAAGATTAAACTCTAGGTCTCCTACTGTTGTTCAGTTGTATCTGACTCTTCATGACCCCATTTAGGGTTTTCTTAGCAAAGATACTGGAGTGGTTTGCCATTTCCTTTTCTAGCTCATTTTTACAGATGAGGAAATTGAGGCAAACAGGGTTAAGTGACTTGCGCAGGGTCACACAACTACTAAGTGTCCTAGGCCAGATTTGAACTCAAGTCTTCCTGACTCCAGGCCTGTAATCTATGCACTGTGGTGCCATGTAGCTGCCCATTACCACCTGGTTGCCCATCAGGTGTCTATGGATTCTCAATTCAGTGCTCCTAGACTGCCAGTATGAGTTGGGACTCAAGCGTTGGTCTCCTGACTTGAATCTACCATTCTTATTCATTACAAAGAACACTTACTTTGGAGTCAGAGGATATGGGTTTGGAGAGCCAAGCTCTACCACTTACTACCTGTGTGATTTTGACTAAATCATTTACCCTCTCTGGGCCTCAGTTTCCTTATCTGTAAAATGAGAGGATAGCCTTCTAGCTCTAAATCTATGGTGCTCTCATCTCCTTTCACCTCAGAGTTCCCATTTGCTCCTGACCTTGCACCTGTAGGAAAATGAATGAGGCCTCCATCTCCCACTTGACTCCTAAAACCTCAGTCCACCTATTGAGGAGAAGATAGTCTATGCTTGCAGGACATGGTGGATGTTCCCACTTAGAATGATTTCTATTGTCTCTATTGGTTAGGCAGAGAGGTGGCTAAGACTCCTCCTAGGTCCCTTTAAGGATGCAGACATCATCATTATTGCTAATGTTAATGATAATAATAGTCTTAATGAGAGACTGTGGTAGAGTTGAATAGACAACTGATCTTGGAGTCGACAAGACTCTGGCCCATACTGGCTCTGTGACCTTAGGCAAGTCACTCAATCTCCCAGTGTCCCAGACAATTTTCTAAGACTCTTGAGTTGCAGAGTAAGTGTAAGTCTGCTTTGGGAGAAGACAATTCCACACGGGAAATCCTTTGCATCAACAAAGTCATAGGCAAAACCCACAAAACCAAAACAATTTATACTAAAAATACATTTTTGTTGTTGTTCAATCATGTCTTCATGGACCCCATGAACCATACTGTCCATGAGGTTTTTTGGCAAAGATACTGAAGTATCCATTTTCTTCTCTAGGGGATTAAGGCAAATAGAAGTTAAATGACTTGCCTAAGGTCACACAGGTAGTGAGTATCTGAGGTTGGATTTAAACTCAGGTCTTCCTGACTCTAGGCTCAGTGCTCTATCCACTGAGTCACCTAACTGCCTCTAAAAAAATCCATTTTAGGTAATGCCTTAACATTTACAAAATGCTTTCCTCACAACCCTTTGAGGTCAACGGCACAAGGATTGTGATCCTTATTTTATAGGTAAGGAAACTGGAGCTTTGAGAGGTGACTTAGCTTGTCTGTGATCATATAGTTAATGCCTGTTTCCACACAAACTTCCTTTCTCCCACCCTACCCCAGCCCTGGCACATGCTTCTCTCTTTGGAGACCCCTCCATCCAGAAGAGTCTCCCAAAGGGAAAGACCTAGAAAGACTAGACTGATAGAGCTGACTACATTTCTTTTGGCTGGTTTGTTTCAGGTCATAGGGATACAGGCATAGGATAGCTGTCATTACTCAGCTACCATCTCCTAAACCCTGGGGGCTGTCACCAGCAGGACTATATTCTCCCCTGCACTGATAAGGAGAAAGTATAGTGAGACTCAACAGCTAGATAACATGACCCAGACTTGACAGAGTTAATCATTACTATGAGTGCCAGGAGATAGGGCGGGAACAGGGTGATGAGACCTTATGCAATTTGGGGGAGACAGAGGAAGGAAAAAGAGGTTTGTCCAGGCATGAGTCACAAGCAGAGGGAGGAACAGCACCCAGAAATCCAGGCTTCCATGTCCTGCTGATCGGCTATTTGATCCTGGTGCTAACCACCAGCCTCTAGAGACGTGTGTGTATAGGTTGATGCCAGCACCTTGGAGGAGCAAGGATGAGGTCATGACACACGGCGAACTGCCCCCTTAGCCCCTCGGCTTTTGAGACTTGGACTGTTGTCATCCCTCCCTCTGCCTCCACACGTTCCCTTCTTGGGCAACTCAGACCTGGTACTAGCCTCCCTGGTTCCTCCTTGTTACAACCCTGGGACAGGAAGGAAGGGAGGAAAGAAATATGCCTTTATTAAGTGCTTACTATGCACCAAGCACTGTGCTAAGCCCTTTATAAATGTTATTCTATTTAATCCTCACAACTCTGGGAGGTAGATGCTATTCTGATGTCCATTTTACAGTTGAGGAAACTGAGGAAGATAGAGGTTAAGTGACTTGCCCAGGGTCACCCACCTAGTAAGTGTGAGGTTGGATTTGAACTGAGATTTTCCTTGAGTCCAAACCCAGAGCTCTATTCGCTGCCCTCAATACTAAGACACTTAACTTCCAAGGTTGGCCAAGTATCTGTTCCTTTTGACCTACATACAAGACAAGGCTTTCCTTCTCTCTTCTGTGTGGACAGAAAGAAACAAAACTCCTCTACCTATCAGCCCTCTCATCTGAGGCACATAGAACTCACCTCTCTGGCTGCTGCTAAGCCCCAGCCAAAAAAGAATTACGTTTTCGATTGTAGTAAGAAAGACTGGAACTAACCACCAGGAAGAATTTCATGATAAGGCTGTCAGAGTGTCAGAGAGGCACCATCTTCAAGTGGTAAGACGGTTCTGAAACTTACAAGGATGGGACTTGGATAAGAGCCTTCAACTCCTTGGGCCTCAATGTCCTCATTTATAAAGTGAGGTGGTAGGATATGCTCTCTAGGGTGCCTTCCAACTCTGATTCTAGAATCAGCCCTGCCTCACACAGCACCTCTCTTACCTCCTGCCGGCACGAGTGAACCAGAACCCAGCCGGAAAGCACAGGGAAGGGTGATTTGTTCTCTCCAGATCCCGTCTGCTCCTTCTACCGAAAACATAACTAAAAAACTATGTACCTTAAAAAACCAGCCCCTTGAGAGCTCTAGAAATATTTCCATCAGAACCAAAGTTTGAAAATCCATACTGATTCTGCCCTTCACTTGATGACCCTCCCTTTTCCAACAGAGCTGCTAAGAGGATTCCTAATGTGAGGAAGGGATTGAGGGGATGGAAAGGAGAGAGGAGGGAAAAAGGGGAAGGAAAGAAAGAATAAATCAGAGAAGTCGAATTGCTCCGCACCTTGATCTCCCACTTGGGCATTCACCCACTGGGCTGCTGCCTTGATGCTCTCTGTCTTGGTGACGTCCAAAAAGGTGACCTGTAGCCGGTGGGAGCATGCCCTTAGGAGTTCCTGGGCTCCCTCCTCAGTGAAGCAGGTAGCCAGCACCCGCATCCCTCGCTCATCCAGTTTCCGAGCCAGAAGTTTCCCGAAGCCAGAGTCACAGCCAGTGATGAATACGTACTTGTCAGAGAGGTTTGGGACCAGATTTAAGTTCTTTAACCATCGGTACATGAAAGAGATGTCCATGATGCCACCCATGGTGCCAGGGTTCAGGGGAGAGGGAACCCCAGGGTCTGGAGACAACTGGAGGCTCTGGCTCAGGGAGGTTCACCCCAGGCTTTCTGGAACACACCAAAGGAGACAAAAAATTACCCTTCCTTTCAACTCCTTGCAACAGACACTACTGGGCAGGCCCCAAACATGGTTTTTTTTTTTTTATAGGCGGGTACCATTGACAATTAACTTTGATGCAAGAAATTCAAGTCTGACTTGAAACCCTGTCACCTCTAATGGCAGCTCCCTCCTTATCTCCCCATTCCTGATGCTGGTGGCTGCTGTTTTTGAGAATCCTTGGGACATTAGTAGTGACAGACAGTTTGGGTTAGGTCATGAATGTGTGGGCTCTCTACCCTTATGGAGTGACTAGGGCAAAAGTGTGCTTTCAGACTGTCTGCCATGTCCGGTTGGCCTGCACCACTTGGCTCAAGTTCAGTGGCATCATTATGAGCAAGTAATTATGAAGGTAAATTTACCAGTGAAAAAAAGATTCATATTATACATCCCAAGGTCCAGTTGAAAATATTTTTTGGATCATCTACTCTCTGGGCTTATCTATGCTTTAGCTCTCCTCCATTATAAAACAATGGAGGACTAATTGTGTTAATGCCATTCTGGCTCACTCTTCTGGTTCAGTTGGGAATAGAAGATGTGGGCCTGACGGATAAGGGTTCATCCTGATTGGGGGCAATTGACCTTGTTCCTGTTAAAGGGAAATTAGCTAATGATAAGACATGGGGTATCAGTGGGCCTGTACTAGGTATCTGCAACCACACTCTGGATAGGCTAAGGCTCTCCAAATACACCAAGGAGAATTATTTTCCAGGGACTCAGGCCACTGCTGCTCCCTTTCTTCATTACTTTGGAGTAGTCTTTATCCTTGTCAGTAAAGGAGATTTGCATATAGCAGGTTGTTAAATAGTAGTAGAGGATGTTATATATATAGTAGTAGGTTGTTAAATAATTTTTGATTAATAAGTCTCATTTAGGTGGTGGCAAGCAATAGGAAAGAAAGTTGGAATTTGTGACTAACTGAACATGGTAGGAAGGAGTGGGGAAGGGAGGTTAGGGAAAGGAAAGAGTCAAAGGTGACTCAGATTTCTAGCTTAGGTGACTGGGAGAAGGATAGCCCACTAACAAAAAGAGGGAAATCAGGAAAGGGAGCCCCATTAGGGGAAGATAATGATTACAGAATCAGAGAGTCAGAAGGGGACTCAGTGGCCATATAGTTCAACAAACAGGTGAATAAGTCTTCTCTACAACATAACTAGCAAGTGGTTATCAGCAGTCCAACCTTCCAAAGGCAGAACATTCCATTTTTGCCTTGCTCTGATTGTTAGGAAGTTTTTCTTCACATCAAGTCCAAAACAATCAATCCACAAGCATTTATTAGGCAGGTGTATGGGGTATTCAGGTGGGATTGTACCTCTAGGGTGAGGGTTTGCTGAGCCTTTATGCACCTTTGGGGTCTGCCTCTCACTCAACTCTCACTTGTGACTCCAAGACAGCAGTCACATCCTGGTAAAACTGTCATGGCAGATGGGCTAACCCAGATTAAGGGGAACCAACAGGCCTCAAACTCATTGGTGAGTTAAGGGGATGTCTACTCCAAGCATGTGAATAATTCCCCCGGGGAATGGGTGGATGGGAACAATTTGTTCCAACTGCCCTGAAGGTGACTGAAGCTGGCACTGTGGAGTGCTGAGAGCTTGGTCTGACATCAAAGACATCAAGGTCATCTGCTGCATCCTGGGCCCTTGATAATCTCTTGACTTTTTTTCTGCCACTGGACTTTGATGACTCTGATGATACCAGGGGATTAGCCTAATTCAGACCCAAACCAGAACTCTAGGAGCTTACTCTAGGGGGGAGGAGGGACAACATGTGAAAACTCAGTTATGTACAAGTTATGTACAACTGGGTAGATGATTTTGGGGTAATTCCCCCTCCCGGCATACCTACTTCTTGTCCTCAAGTTTACCTTGTGGCTATGACAAGCACTTTATGGAGGATAGGCTCTAAGAGCTAGTCAGTGACTGATAATTAAGGATCCTGCCTCCCCCCTTTTTATTTTGGGTGGGACAGAGTGAGTTGCACAGAATGAGCAGGTATGGATGGATTGCAATCTACATGACAGATCTCATTACATTATCTTTCCTCCTAAACTCACCACTCTTCCAAACTTCCAGATTACTATAAAGGACACCACCATCCTTCTAGCCACATGGGTTCACAAGCTTAGTGTTATTTTCCACTCTGCTCTCTCACCCCGCCTCTAAAGCAATTGTGAAGTCTTGTCCAGTCTTCCTACACTTCATGTCTCACATCTATCTCCTCTCTACTTACAAGGTTACTACCCTAGTTCAGGCCCTTATCACATCTTGTGGCAACCATTTCAATAGCTTCCTAATTGGTCTCCTTGCCTCAAATTTCTCCCCTGTTCAATCCATCCTCCATACAGCAGCCAAGTGGTTTTTTTTTGTTTTTGTTTTTGTTTTGTTTTGGTTTTGTTTTGGTTTGTTTGTTTTTTTTTTTTTTGCAAGGCAATTGGGGTTAAGTGACTTGTCCAGGGTCGCACAGCTAGAGAGAATTGTGTGTCTGAAGCCGGATTTGAACTCAGGTCCTCCTGATTTCAGGGTCAGTGCTCTATTCACTGCAGCACCTAGCTGCCTCTCCAAGTGATTTTTCTAAAGTAGAAGTCTGATCATGTCACTTACCTCTTCTCAATAAACTCCAATAACTTCCAATCGAATCTAGGATCAGATATTACTTTATCTATAATTCATCCCTTTAATCTAGATGTGAAAGTAGATAGAGTGCTGGCCCTGGATCTAAGCTCAAATCTAGCCTCAGATGCTTACTAGCTGTGTGATCCCAGGAAAGTAATTTAATCCTATTTGTCTCAGTTTCCCCATCTAGAGGGAAATAGCAAAGCACTCCAGTATCTTTGCCAAGAAAACCCCAAATGGGATCATGGAGAGTCAGACACAACCAAAATCACTCAACAACAACAGTATTCCTTTAAAAATTTCAATTTTGGGGGTAGCTAGGTGGAGCAGTGGATAGAAAATTGGCCCTGAAGTCAGGAGGACCTGAGTTCAAACCCAGCCTCAGACCAAACACTTGACACTTACTAGCTGTGTGACCCTGGGCAAGTCACTTAACCCCGATTGCCTAAAAAAAAATTTTTTTTTAAATTTCAATTTTTGATAAGTTTTCTAATGTATATACTTATTATTCAGATATAGCTATATATAACTTATAAATAATTATGTAAACATAATTATATTAGGGGGAGGTTATGGGCTCAAAAACTTTTTTACTGGTAGAAGTACATAAAAGTTTGAAGACCCCTCCGCCATATCTGACGCTTACTGGCTATGTAAATATGGGTAAGTCATTTAAACTTTCTAACCCTTAGTTCCTTTTTTCATAAAATGGAGAATATAAGCCTTGCAGTGCCTCCCTCAGAGGGTTATTTTGAGGCTCAAATGAGAAAAAATTTTAAATGCTTTACAAAATTTAAATTGTTCTATATAACAAAACACCCATAATTGCTGTTCTCCGTCTCTACCAAGGGGTCTCTCTCAGTGCTGGACTAACACACTGGAAGACCAGGTTCACATTTGGGGAAGTCTGTCACTCAGAGACTAAAGTCAAAATCTTTTCTCTCTGGCTTTTTATGCCCTAACCCTAGAGCTCTAGGAAAATTACTTAAAGCTTAGGTTTAATTCCCATCTAGAGTCTCCCCCAAAAGGGACTATAGAAAGAAACTCAATGTACAGTTACCCCTTCCACATGGCAACTTTCCCTATTGCAGTTTCGATATATCTCAGGTTGGCATAAGAAATTAAATGGGAATTTTTGTGGAAGCTGCAGACAACCCTAGAAGGCCAGCAGACAACACAGAAAAAGTTTAAAAACTCAGAAATGCATAAAATATATGTATAGTATTGTATGATATCAACATATTTTATCTTTTAATACCATAATAATTCAGACTTCTCTTGTATGAAGGGAGGGCCAAAAAATTTTACACAAATTTTCCAGATTGCGAGGGCATGGGTCCTTAACCCCGGTGATGCAGGAAGGATAACTGTGTTAATGTAAATCACATTTAGGACAGCTATCTTTTTCCTCACTAAAGATATGCTTACATAAGATGTTCATAAGCATGTGAAGGACAACAAAAAACTTCAATAAACACCAGTAGTAACTACTGACATGCTGTTTCAGGAGACTGATATTTAAAACATCAAAACATTAAGCATTTTGTGGGACTATTGAATCATCATTTCATCTTCACCTTTGTTCTGCATTGTACAAATGGTTCCCTCCAGGTTCATATCTTCCAGCATACTAGGCCAGGGATTGAACTCATCTTCTTTTCGAATTAAGAAATTTTTCCTGCTGCCAGGCAAGGAAATCAGGATTTCTTCACCTCTCAGATTCAGGAGGTTGCTTGCAAGGCTGGAAATGTCCATCTCAGGATCATTGTTCAGTTACCTATACTCAGCAAAGAAAAATAAACTAGAAAAGGTAGTCATGGGTCCAACGCCTCCAGGCAAAGTCAAAACATGTGCATTAGCAACAGCTAAATGTGATCACAGTTCAAATCACAGTTCAACATTTCTACTGCCAGGGACAGGGCTCCAGGCCCTTCCTTATCCCTACAGGAAAGAGTTTGAAAAACCCTGACACTTTCTAAGGATAGGAAGAGAGAGCTGATGATTCACTCCAAAGTTCACAAGGTCCTCCTCTGTTCAAGGAGGGTGGGGGAAGAAGCCAAGGTCATCTCTAATTTTATTATACAAAACCCATAGGACATAACAGTCCCTCAATCAATCTCAGCAGATAAAAGTCTTCAGTTCATACAACCGGGCCTTCAAGGACTTCTAAACTGATTGAATCTAAAGCCAGAGGGTGATTGATACAAAAGAGAAATATACAGGCCTTGTTCACAACTAGTTTAAACATGTGATTGATTAATTCAATCTAGATGTGTTCTTACAAGCTAAAGATAGGGTGCAAAGTGAGATGGAGTAATTGATCGACTCAGTTGATCCACATCCTTACATATAAGTGCCAGTTATAATGACTGGATGAATCTGAGGTGT